AATTGAAAAGCAAGGAGTACTTGATATTACTTTCTGTGGCATTGAGTTATTTTCAAAATAGCTTTATAAAAATTTAGGTTGCTTACCAACACATTAACTTCTCTCTGCCATCAGCACACTGAACAGCCACTAGTTTCAGAAATAGACTATGAATATATGTAATGCATTTAAATGGTTTGTGCTGAATTTTTAAAGCATCGGATATTGTCTATGGTTTGAAATCAAGGTGGTCTGTAGTCCTTTATCCTATTACATATATCCATGTAGCCTTATACTCAAGATTTCATGCCCTTAGCAGTACCGTGAAAAATATTTTTTTAGACAATGTGGGTAGGCATAGAATAATAGGTACCAGAGCACTTGCTATATGACTAAAGTAATTATAAATCAAATAGGCCCTTAGCCAACTAGGCCTTATTCTGAGAGATAAACATCAGATAATCTGCATAAACTAATACAACTCATCTGGAATACAAAGAGGAAATTGGAACCAATAGCAACAATTTTATTAGATGCCAGGAAGTTTTTTGATGCAATTGAATGGGACTACTTGTATTATGTGTTAGGTAAATTTGCCTTTGGGGACAAATATAACAGATAGCACAATTTATTTTCAACCCATTTATATGGTTCAAATCAGTGAAAGTCTCCTTTTCCTTGACTTATTGCTGCATTGGGAAGAGAAGTAAGGATGATGCTTGTTACTGATGCTCCTCTTCAGGCTGACTGACATTGGAGCTGTAATATCATCCGGGGCCCATGGGTATCCAAATGGTATTCAGATGAAGGTTCATAAGTTAACTAATGTTTGCTCATAATCCACTACTTGTGCTGAAAGCCCTAACAGCATCTGTCGTAAAAACATTAAAACTAATATCATAATTTGAAACGGCTTCAGGCTGCAAAGTCATTGGGAGTGAATCAGAAACACAGGTTTTACAAATTAACGAAAGGATGTTTTTATATTTTGGGGGCAATTACCCAGAAGAGGAATTCTTGGATCATATGGTAGTTATAGTGTTAATTTTTAAAGGAAACTTCATACTGTTTTCCATAGTGGCTGCACTTATTTCCATTCTTTACACCTGAAATTTATATGATGTTATTAACCAATGTTACGTTGATACATTTAATTTAAAAAAAAGAAATACTATCTTGACAATAATTTCTGTTAATATTATTCTATGACATTTAAAATAAATGAAAAAGAATTGATTTGAGATTCTCATTAGGAAATGCTTGAACAATTGAGTAAAAAAAAAAAAAAAAACAAATTTAAAAATTTACCTGTAATTTAGTGCTAAGTTTTTTTAAGAAATAGATTCCACTAAATCTAGGGAGGAGGAAAGCCTAGTAGAGTATAAACCTCTTTAAAATTTAATTAGCTCAATCAGATATTAACTCCATACCTTTCTGTAACTTTTTACCAAGGAAGAAAGTAATTATTTAGTCATATGAAACGATATAGTCATGTTGAAACTGTGTGAAATGTATGCTACCTTATAAAAAGGATTGTTTGCCTCACTGGAAGCTATTTGATGGTATACATCATAACTCAATTAAGCTTGCTATGGCTTGTTAAAAGGAATTACCTGCTGTATATTGCTGTGGAAGAGCCTATAACACAAATAGCTTTACAACCTAGAAGAATAACAGAGACTAAAAACATAGAGCCTATTGAAAAATAAGAAACTAGTCTACAGCACCCAGCTATTTCCTAGTTCTTAAAAACAAGAGTAAAATTGTAGATATTGAGAAGAATGGAGAGGGATTAGTGTTGGTGACAGGAGAAAAGAAGGACTGGGCTTATTTTAGCTTATAATTCTCAAGTTATAGAGCAAAAGATTCTTCATTTACTCATCCAAACAAGATGTTAACAACCTTTCCAAAACAGTCTTTCTTCTCTTCTAGTATTAATTACAGTAATCACTGGCATAGGGATGGAAGAACAAGACCAAAGAATTTGTGATGACTCATGAAGTGATGTTAGTAGAAGAGGATTACTGTGGACTTGCAGCTTATAGCTGCCAACTCAGAAGGAAAGGGGGGCATGGTGGCAACTAGCTTGATGTTAATGGCAATTGTTCTGTGTGATGTTTAATGATAATAGTCAACATAACTAGCTATACCACATTTCCACATTGATAGACATCCCTCTTGATCATAAAGTATAAGTCTTAGATTATAACAAATGTGTTTAATAAATACAACAGACATACACAAACTACCTATGTTCTTCAATTAAAAAATGCTTTTGTCATATATTCTAGTACAAATCTATGCTAAATCTTCCATATGAAGCTATAGATATGCCCATGTGTGCATTATTTTCAACTACCTAGTTAACCCGACCATATAGTTAACAGCTTCCTTTTCCATCCCATATTATTGAGTTGGCTGAAGCAACTTGATACAGTTTCAGAAGAACCAGGAGAATGGTTCAGGAGAGGTTTAAGTGGGATCTGGTACATCGTTCTGGGATAGGGTCTAGACTGAATCAATTGAACATGTTATAGAAGCAAAGGACAGTGATAGGCCTGAAGGGTTTATGGTATACTGACAGGAAGCACATTATAACTTCCAACAAAGTTTATGTGTTCATCTATCTGGTCACATCCCTTATAGTCACCGAGGACGTTAGCATCTAGCTCATATCTTCTCCATTAGAACTCCTGTCGCAGGCTCAATTCAACTTCTCTATGGAAAACCCATCCAGTATCCTACCTTCCTGATCCTTTACTGACCTCCTCAATGGCTTTTGTCTCCAATCTCTTCAGCAATTCACACTTCTAGACATTCCCTAGAACTTGGCATTATCTATAGGCACATTCCAATGGACTTTCTACATGATGGAAATGTTTTATCTGCCCTGTCCAATGTGGACAGTATTGTAGCCATGCATGGCTCTTGAGCCCTTGAAGTATGATTAATGTGACTGAGGAACATAACTTTAATTGTAACTATTTAAATGTAAATAGCTTTATAGGGCTGGTCGCTACCATATTGGATAGCACAGATCTAGAATTTCTCCTCTTAGGAAAATTTAATCTCAGTACCTCCTTGTTTTTCTAGCTTTTTACTCTGTCATTCTCATTGAAACTTCAATCTAATTTTTTTAATACCTGTACTTTTTAAATCTTCATCCCCTAAGACTTTCTTTTCATCTGCTGGTCTCCTTTTCTTATTGATCCTGAACCCTATGGTTGATGCCTTAAAACTTTCTCTCACAGTGCTTCCACCTCCTTCCCACTCTTACATTTCACTGCATCTGATATTTAAACTTGCAGCTCTAGATCAGTACAATAGCCCATGCCTCTACTGATATACCAAAATGGCTGAGCATTGTTTGGAATAAAAGAAAATCATACAGCAGTGCAGATTAATGTCACTACGGATTCATACACCTGTGCAGATTGATTTCATTACAAATTCATGCTCACCTGCCTTTCTTGACTTTTATACTGCTCAGTAACTTTGGCTCTTCTTTGGCCAGCTTCCTTTATCATTCCCATTAGTGACTTTTCCAAACTTCCACTATTCTCTACAACTCTCCTATACAACTCTCCTATACAAACACTTTCCTCTTTTTTCTCAGAAGATGCCCCTGCCTCCTAGTTTCTTCAGAAAATTGTGGCCATCAAAGTGAATGTCCTTAATACTTGCTGATACATACTCCTCATTTTATTTAGAAGCACCACCATCCATCTGGCCTCAAAAGTTAGAAACCTGGTAGTCATATTCATTTTTTTTTTATTGTTCTCTTACCGAGTACTATTGGCATTGCCTTAATTAAGGTCATCTGGGCTATTAAATTTCTTCCCTAATTCATCTTTCCACATGCTACCTCAAATCTCACAATCCACACTCTATATTGCTGGTGAAGGGCTCCTCCTACAACAAAATCCTGACATGTTCTTGAAAACAAGTAAGAGATCTGTATCTTTCTCACTCTCACTCTCACACACACAATCACACGTATTCACACACACAAAATTACATTCTCCTTAATGTCATCAAAATTTGAATAATCCTACTAAGGAAACCTAATATTACAATGTATAAATTGCCCCAGCTTGCCACATGTCCCACTCTATAATTAGCTAGAGTTCTACTAGAAGACCCGATGTTATTTTTTTCTAAGTGTTCTAGATATTTAAAAGTATAGTCTTTTTGTTCTTATACTCCTATCTGAAAACAATATAGGTATATTTTAGGCTACAATACCTAGTTTTTTCATAATGAATTGCAAAGAATAGTCAAGCCATTTTCAAAAGCTTGCACATTGGACTGAGAGTTGTAAATTAAGTGGAGAATCCCCTATATTATGGGCATGC